GATTAATATTATTATGTATTGATACGAAGAGAGAAAGAGAGGGAGAGAGTCGGTAATCGAGGTGAAATGAAGTGAGAAATTCATAGTCGATAATATGACGACATAAAATATTATAATCGTCACGGAAAATTAATTAAGAGCCGACTTGTAGAATTCTTAAACTGTCCGACAAATATGTGGGCAGATGAGATAGGATCAGTAGAACGGGTTGATCAACGTAAATTTCTATCCGATCGATAGGTCACATTTCATTCGGCGTACAGATATTAAGCTTCGCGTGTTTGATGTCGTAGTAATCTTTCATATTAGCGTATCATTTAATACGAATGAGAAGTCAATTAATTAACATGATATTTTTATATGCGTATCGTGTCACGCAAAAAGACGAAATGCAGAATTATAAAAAAGAAAAAGCCAGTATTATAAATTGCGTTGATTATTGACGCAATTGGATAAGTTCGATTTCGGGAACTGTTTACCGCCGAATTTCACTTGATTTATGTGGCGACGTTAATTAGCAATCATTGCGATTAATTAACCAGCTTGGTGATTGCAAGTGGATTAAGTGGCACGCGCAGGCGTGACGGAAAATCGTTGATATGCTAAGATTCATGCGATCAATTTCCCGAAGCGATGCACTCGGCCATGAGATGCAGTTTATGAGATGATTAAAACGTTGCTTTAATTCCACCCGATCATTCTTTATGCTCATTGGGAGACTCTCGAGCTTCTCAAGCCGGCGCTTAATTAAGTTTCGAGTCAATTAAGCCCGCACGATGGACGAAACTATCGCACGCCAAAATGATGTCACACAATATGCGTTAATTAATGCCCTTTACATACGAATGCATATTTGCAATTTTAGAATTTTCTTGTGCAACATATCCCATGTATTCGCGGAAAGATTAATTTAATTAGAATTTACCGAAGTTTGATATTGAAAACTTAGAACTTGCACATTTTGTTGTTATGTGAAAATATTTTAAATTTGCAAAAGTAATTTGAGATTAAAAAATTTTTTTTAATTAACCAAGAAAGTTAGTAATTAAATTTCTCGTATAACATTAAAATAAACTATTATCTGAAGCATTGACTAACTCTAGAACTTTTCTTACATAATTTATTATAATGCAACATTGTTCTTAGAAGATTAATAGTTTTATACAATGCTATATAAATGTAATAACAATTTTATATGTTTTGAGCGAAGAGGACAGAAGAAAGAATAGAAAATATAAATTAAAACGTTCAATATGATAAATATATATGTTAAAACAGTTTATCACACTTCAGTAAAAATATCAAGATTTACCTTTAATTTAAATATTAATTTTAATTCTGCCGGGAACTGTCGGCACGTATGCTGGCCATACTTGGCGGAGGGATTGACGACTTAGACGTACGACAAGCTTCTTCGCTTAGTGTACGACGTCGATATTTTATCGAAACTTTTTATTACCTAAGCGGGTTGACGACTTTTCTCGCTTTCAGGAAGATGTTAAGTGCGACATGCATTGCGCGCGGTGAAATTGCGTGTTTGCAGTTTGAAAGGTCACTTCCGCGTCATTCGCTAATTAATTCCTTTTGCAACAAATTAAGAGTTTGACAGGCAAATGATCGATTTGAAGTTCTGTAATTATTATGAATAATTATTATTAAAAAGAGAGAAAATCTTTCAATTTCTCTCTCTCTCTCTCTCTCTCTCTCTCTCTCTCTCTCTCTACTTTTTCTAACGTGAAAATTGTAACTTAATATTTGTAAAATAATCAAGAGAACTAAAGATATACGTGTTTTTATTTTTTATCTTTACGTATATTTATAGTTACAAGCAATTATATTTACGTTATAAGTAATGATCCATTATTTAAAGTCTGTTTTCGCCATGGTGTAAGTAACGTTTTCGCTGAACGATTTTCGCTATCAATATTACAGCAAATCGGCGGTCGGCGAGTGTTAATTTATTGTCTTCCAAGCAACGTCAATCTCGCTGACTGTCGTTATCATCAACGGTCGGCCTACGCGGAGGCGAGAGAAAATTTTCCAGACGCGCTCGTCTAATCATTGCGCTACGAGAGCTATCTCGAGTAGGAAGAAAGTGCGCCGCTAAAAGCGCGACGTGCGTGCTTTCACATAAATATCGTCTTGATAAATGTACCAGCCCGGGCGTTATGGATGGAGAATATTAGAATGGCACATGCTGGCGATCGCGGCGATGGCCGTGTGCCATTGTAGGCGTAGCGAGAGAGCGGAGATTAAACGCGATCCCAATCAAGACGATTCACGAGCGCGCTTCCGCGTCCTTCGACGGAAACGTTGCACTCGATCCATCAACAATTATAGCGATTAAGATTTACGTGAACAATCGGACGCGCGAGTGAGAAACTTGTCGCTTTGTTAAGTCGCTCATCAGAACGGTGTTTCCAGAAATAACACATAATGTATAACGAAACAAAGACGATGTAAAAAATAAAGTAAAAAATACTAAATATTGTTTCCCTCTCTTTTTCTCAGTGTAAAATTGAAAGAAATTTCCAACCAAACAAAAATTTCTAAATAAAAATTATTATCCTAATTACGTAATATTTATTTAATATATTATTTAATTCCAATATATTATGTATTGCAATTAATATACATATTATTAAATTGATACTAAACATGTAAGTAACACTTTCTGAATCAGTTTCATGATACATTCTAAGTAACTTCACTTGGTGACTGCAAAAACAACAAAACTTTTAGTAAAAATTTTAAACTTACACCAATTATTTTCTCGCTTTAAGTATACTTACAATATGTACCTACGATTCATCCTTACGTGGTAAATTAGTACAACGAACATAAAGGTCAGGCTTTCAAACGTAATACTTATTACGGTTACGGCCGGATTATTCTTACGACAAGTTCGCAATTACAATTACAAACGTATCCACTGACATGACGTCAGGATTAACCTGTTTTGGGATAGACCAGTCCCCGAAGATATATCAAGGTATATCAAAGCCGCGAGATTAGTCGCCGATAGTAAATGGGTTGACACATCCGAGACAATTATATCCCGGTATCTTCCGAGCGAGGCGGCCATTAGCCCGCGGCGCACAATGTAACACCCGCGTAGGAACAATAGGAAGCTCGTGCACGATGATTGATCGCCCAGTTGGATGCAATCGTACCGGCTGGATACCCTCGAGAGCTCCTCCTTCTTCTTCCTCCATCTCCCCCGCCGTCTTATCTTTAGCGGCTCTTCGTCTTACGCGCCGACGCGACGTTGCGCCACAGTTGGCCGCAGTCCTGATGAGTTTTCTTCGCTAAGTCCGCGCCGGTTAGGCGGACTATAACTACTCGCGTCGACGGTTTGCATACCAAATACGCACGGCAGTCTATAAATTTTGTTCACTTGTAGGTACGCGTAAATGCACCATTGCGTTTTGCGTTATTGCGGTCGATTCCCACACGTTCTTCCTCTCACGCACTCTCTGCGAATCTCAATAATTGTTTTCTAATTCGTATAAGATATAAAGACTGACTGAAGATTCTTTCCTCCGCAATTTCAATCTCTTGATTTAATTTTTCATCCTTAATTTTAGCCTTTGATACGTCTGAGAGTGGAGTTTTCGATTGGATTGCCAAATCGTCTTAACCTGCTTCTCGGTTTAATCAAGCTTGTTCTTTCCATCCGGTATAATTTGATACGTCGACGAGACCGAAGCGTCCGGTTGGTTTCGTCTCGCGACTGTCTCGTGCGTAGATCCGAGATCGCGTGGGTCGTGAGCGAGCTGCGTCGAAGAGACTTATGCAAATTCAATTTAGCCCGCCTGTGCAATGGAGGAGGGCCGGTCAGGGTCGACTCGAAGACTTTGCGAATTTTAACGTATTATTATTTAAAGCTGAAGTACGGAATATTTCTTGCATTGTCGATGAATATAATACGTTAAACGTTTTAATTTTAGTGAATATTTTTCTAGTTAATTATTTTAAGCCTCAAATATAAATGCAAAAATCGAAATTTATTTTATTAGTCGAATGAAAAGCATGAAATTTAACCAGCTCTATTCTTATATATATATATATATATATATATATATATATCTAAAATTACAATTAAATGACTTAATTGAAGTAAGGCGCAAGATTATTGCTCATGCGTATTAATAAAAAAGTAAAAATACATTCTTACTTACCAACATCGAAATATTATAAATATTATTTATAAACAAACGGAACATGAACGACGATTTTCCTTCTCAGAATCTTTTTTTACCCAAAATACACAAAATAAAAAAATTTCAACAAAATCGGAGAGGTTGGCGTTATATACTGCATATTTACCTTCTATTTAAGTGCATAGTAAATCTTATACACTTTAACTTCTCTTAATCGCGTTTCACTGCAGTCCTGCTTAGGATGCACACACGCTTCACAATGATTATGTGCCTTTAAAGAAGGAAGAGGGACGCGATTGATAGATAAATTGATAAATAGAACAAGAAAGCAGGAGGGAAACCTGAGAAAGAGAGAGATCGGTCCATCGTCCATCTTGAAATCGGCTCGTGTTAAGTCGCGGCAGCTGGCCGATTCCCTCGTTTTATTTCGCATGACGAGCAACGGAGGACCGCGTTGCGCGTTGGTTCTGTCAGCCTCTCTCGTAACCGCTTCATTATGGGCCACTTTATAAATGCGTTCCGCTGGCTAACTGTACGCGCGAGATATCCGCGGCGCAAAGATAGTACCTAACCTAACCTAACGTATCTATCGCCAATAGATTTTTGCAAGTTTCTCTTTACTTTAGCCTCGTCGATCGAGCGACAGCTATGTTTAAATGATGACGACTTTCAATGAAGCTTCTTCTTTAATTTAAATTACGTAGCACATATGATATTATATTCCATTCACGAGCTGTATATCACGCTTTGCAAAAATAACGTACTTCTTAGTTAGTGAAAAGGCTATTCTCCGGCAATGTAATGTTTTAACCGCTTTGAATTTTTGATTGGTTGCAGGAGGAAATCGGCGAGATAATCGAATCAGCTCCAACGACTCCACTCCGCAAAGAGACAAAGCATTCGACTCAGCCCGAAAAATTGTCGAACTACACGAACGATTCGTTCACCCCGAAAGATTTGCCCGCTACGAAATCGCACGGCTTCGTGAGGAGACAAAACTCGTTGACGAGAGGCGGCGAGGATATCGGCGAGTGGTCGAACAGCATCCTCGCGGAGTTCAATAGTATAATCGCCAACGAGATCAACGAGCTTACCAAAGAAAAAACGAGGAGAGAAGCGGCGCGTGGCGACGACGACGTTAGGGTGGTACAATACAAGGAGCTGCTGAACGAATTCGGAATATCTGACAGCGAGTGCTCCGAGCGAGAGTTCAGCGGTGAACGTGGTTCTCTTCGAGACGAGAAGAGTCTACGAGATCGCAGGAACGGAAAACTGTTCGTCGACGATGATCGTCGCTGTCTGTTGAACTCCGATTACGACGAGCCTCACGATCGAGTAATTCCTGAAGGAAGGAAGAGCGGTAGCCTGCCGGAGAATCTGCAGGACATCATTGGCAAACGTGGGCGATTTCATACCGCGGAGACTCTGAGCTCCGACTACGACGAGCCCAGCAACTGTCTACCAATAAACTCGATCAGGAGCCAGATCGATAGAATCACCTCTAGTCTACCGTCGAAATTGGAACGTGAATGCATCTCGAAAGACACGCGATCGAATCCTTGCCATGCACCAAAGACACCCGTAGGATTAAGTTTGAAGACCAATGAAGACACCAACGTGGACACAGCGCTCCAAGCCGGATCGTTCAGATGCGCTGAGGAAGACGCCGAAGAAGCGAACGCGAAATTACCGCCGCGACAACGATCCGAGAGAAAGACGAGCCTTCCCATCAATCTAACGAGCCAAAAGCGCAGAAAGGCAATGCGACTGCAGAGACTCCGACGAGGTCCTGACGATCGAGAGACCATGGATCCCGATTACGACGACGTATTTCCGAACGAGGAGACGGGCAGATCTAAATCGTTGGACAATCACGTCCCGAAATCAGCGCCCGTAACACCCACGGACGAGAAGAAGCCACCGTTCTCGAAATTATTGAGGAAACGGCACACTCCGGTGTTCCACGAGAGCTCCGACGACGTCATTCTGGTTAGCGTGTCTTCCCTGCCGGATCAAGATATGCTGCGCTTGAGAAACGACAGGCTCCATGAGACGAAGAATGATAAGGCGAACTCGAGAGAAACGTTGATTCGAAAAAAGAGAGCGATATCGCCGCTAACTCTACGTTCTGACGTCACCGCGAAAAGATTGTCGGAATCGGACCGAGATATCAGACGAGTCAGCCCGGTGGACTTGAAGAAATTCTCGTTGACGCGAACTTGGGGCAACGACGTTGCGGTGAATTGCGACTTGTCCGAGAACGGTGACGTCAATGGAAATTGCGGGATCGAGAACGGAACCCTCGGCAAGCTGGAGCACGCTGACGTGAAGAGGATTATGGAGGAGCAGAACGCGAAAACGGGATCCGTAAGTTTCATATTGATATTTCTTACAACTAATTATATTTCACCGACATGAAATTATTGAGAATTAATCATGCATTAGTTTATTTGCATTATAATATGTATATTTATCTCGACGAGTCTATATAAATTCAGAGAATTATAATCAGAAGATACATTTAAATAATTATTAATATGTAAATATTTGATTAATCAAATATTTACAGTTTTTTAATTAAATGCTTTTAAATAATTATTTAATAAAAATAGAATTGAATTTAATCATTAGCTCGGTATTATCCATTACAGTATTTTTAAATTTGCAAACATTGTTTTAAAAAAATTTATTTGGAAATAGCATGCATTAAGTTATTAAAATATGAAGCTGTTGTTTTCATATTTAAGAAAAAATATAATTTGGAAGAATGGAAAAGCGAGGTCTAACTAATTTATATTGTCATTTGTAGTTGCCTATTTCCCTGCAGTCTTTGTTGTCGAGAATACGAAGTGGCTCGGGTTCTTGTTGCCCAAATAGTCCGCCGATGGATACTCTCACCTGCTCCGACATGGCGACTCAAACGTCACCGGCGATTTCGAGGAGCTCTAGCTTCACCTGGGTCAGCGATTGCGACTCTCCTCAAGGTAATTTTCGTATCGTCCCACGTTGCTTACATGGCCCGCTTAATATATATTCATGAGATTAGTTAACGCCCGTGAAATTTATTTCCGTTTCGGATCTCCGTAATCCAGTAAGCGACTATTACAAGAGTTTGTCAATGATTTACGTTTAAATTAACTCCCCGTTGACCTTTCGAGTCGTTTAAAATTACATCTGGTTGGAATAATGTTTCTGCCTTTGGGTGGTATTGAATATAGTATATATTATGATTTTATATTTGTTTATTTTTTATCTCTTCTGACGAAGAGAATATTTTTGTACGATAAAAAATTTATAGAAAATAAATAAAGGTATATATTTTATTCTATTAATACATTATTAGTTTACACAAATATTTTTTATATTTCTATAAAAGTTTGATTACAATTTTATTGAATGTTCTTTAGAAAATACAAATAATATTTAGGTAATACTATATTATATCGGGAGTTATAAAAATGTATTATGTATATATTTCAATGAATGATACATGTAAGATTACTATTGTATATTTAATTCATAGTTTTCTCTAAATTGCATATTTCTTAATCGCAGCCGAGTCCCAATTAGATTCGCAGTCGTTGCAAGATGAGAGTACCTTAGACCCAGTTTCCCCTCAAGACACCGTGGATGACGACAATAGATCCTCATCGTCGTCTCAAGACCTCCTGCAAAGCATGGACGAGATTTCCTCCGGAAGCTTGTCGCCGGATACTACCGACAGAGCATCTCCGCTTGAAAGTGGGATCGGAACAGCGAGTCCACCTAGAAGTACGGACCGCCGATTGACTAAACGTAAGCTAGAACTATTTTATTATCTCTTCGTAGATATCGACATAAATATTCTAAAAATCAGATTGCCACATTTATATCTTCTTTTACTTTCGGAAATTAAACTACTGGTAGCATTTTTGTTTCTATCAATCAAATCATTTGTGATTTATAACCGCGTATATTTACAATGATAATACACTTGCGACTCCTAAAAATATTCTTTTATTAGTCATATAATATATTTTAATATAATTACATTATTAAAGATTTAGTATTATATAAAAATTGATATTTGTTTAAATCTCGATGTTGTTGTCTCTCACGTAGCGTCAACACCGAACAAATGTCATCGCAAAGAGACATGGGAGCGAATCCGGCGACGGCCGTCGAAACTGAACTCGCGGAACGACAAGAATTCGCAAGACGTGTGGGTCAAACGCGAAAGCGTGCACACGCAAACGAAACAGATCGACGACCAGTACTCGCAGGACGCGGTGGACAGCAGTAGTGGTCTCGATGACTCGTTGCCGAGGATCAGGACGCCCAGGCCTACGAATTTACCGCTATGTGAGTCATGTCGGCATATTTCCGAGTATTCCTCCTACGCGTAATGTCAAGCTGTCATTTTTTATGTTTTCTTATTACGCGCGGCGCAATAATACGCATAAGCGTAATAAATACGAATCATTTATTTGGAAAAACTTGTTTTATGAGACCAGTTTCTCGAAGATTTTACTAGTTGGACGATATACTTTGCGATAGTTTATTTCTACATGGTATAAATTCTAATCTAGCCGCTCGGCTATTCTTCTGCAACAGGCTTGTCCACCACTGCGAGCAGTTCCTTGAGCTCGGGCGAGCTACTCGAGACGCCGCCCCGAGCGCCGTCTTCTCCGTCCGCGGCGAGTCTCCAGCTGAAGCCGGAACCTCTAGCCGTGGAAATGGGCGGGAAGAGTAGCAGTGCGCCGTTGTTGGAGAACAATGACGCCAAGAACGCCAACGGGAAGGTGCCGGTAAGCTTCTCTTTCTTTAACTTCGAGTAAATAGTTGCGGAAAGTTGGTTGAAATTGAAATCAGGTGCTTGTATGAACTAAAAGAAGAAAAAATCAAAATATATAATAGATATAAAATGTTCTCCACGTTGATCGTGAAAGTCTTGTACTTATTTTATCAATATTTTGTACTACATGATTTTATCCCCTTTAAACGTCTGATAATATCTGATAATAATCCGAGAAATCCTTTGCAATGAGGAGGAGAAAAGTCAGCCATAGAAATTCTTCAGTTATCCGAAAAAAGTTAGTAAAGTTCGGTTTAATATTGTATTTATTTCCCTACCTTGTTACTGTTTAATTAAGATGAACGTGCAAACTTACGTAAGCGGTAACGTCCGTATCGTTTGACGTCAAGTCGCCGGTCTGAATATCTCGCGTCTCTTAAATATCGATAGTTAACTCGAGCATGACTCGTGGAGCAAGAGGCCGGGCGCTTAACATCGGGTATCGTCCTAGACGGCGACGGCGGGCATTAATCGCGCGGCAGCGAAGCGTGTACGGCGCTATCGGTATCGAGATTACCCGACACGGTATCGCAGATATACGCTCCCCCGTCTTCGCGGTTGCGTTCGACGATCCGCCGTTCACGGACAGCTATTAGTCTCTGCCCACGTGGTTCGCGTACGTCGTTCGACACGTTAGCCTACCGCGTCTCTTGTATCCCTCGCCTGCGGCTCGTGTGGGCCACGAAGAGTGTCGTAAGAATGACATTTCGTTGCGACGATGAGCCTCGCGAGTACCTTTCTCCGACAAGAATACCCACCTGTTTCACAAAAGATGGGAATTTCTTGCAAATCGGCAAGAATCGCTTTCCCGTGAGAACTGGTCGGTCCAATCTACTACGGATGCATCATTAAACTTTATGCATCGTCGATCCGTTATGATTAATTGTTCGGAGAAATAATTAATCTTCGTAATTTGCGTAGATAGTTACGATAAGAGAGATTATTGACAAGTTCTAGCATAGGAGATCGAAACATGAATTAGTGGATAATTACTTGGATTATATGAACAAAGATTGAATGTAACATTAATCTTGTGAACCTAATGTTTATGCGATATATTTAGATTTTTTGACTGAAGAGGAAATTATTAGGAAATTAATTTGTACATGAATATGCCATAGATTGCTACTAATTAGTTATTGGTGATTTGACAATATATTATTATATTATTGTGTATTATTAGTAAAATAATTTTATTGTCCAATCTTCTGATATTACAAGATATGCATACCAATTTTTGATTTATCCCATTTATGAGTGCGATTTCCGTACAATGATATTTCATAAGAGAACGCAGTTTCTGTGTTGAATTTTAATTTGCGTTTAATTATTCCAACATAAGTCTCTTTTATAAAATTCCTGTGAATATTTCGCGTCAATATAGTATAACATCAGGAGTTCCAGCGCTGTTCGCTCTGTTAAAAGGTACCAGCGCGGCAATTAACCGTTATTCACAATTAAGAGTCATGCTAAACGGTCGAGCAACTAAATAGGTCGCATTTATTGTTTTCTCGACCCAACGTTCTCCAACATTCTTCCTTAGTGTCGTCTCAAGCGTGTCGCTCTCTATGCGCGCGAAACATCCAGCGAACTTAGGGAATTCGTTTCGTGCCCGAAAATCGTGCAAGGTCAGTCTTTGACGCTAAAAGCGGTGCTTCGCATGGATGCACTTGGTGCCGGGAGAGTCGATACTTTATTTACTTAAAATATTTTCGGTGCGACCGACGACGACGGTGCTTTGATCGCCCAAGTCCAGCTGCTACATTTCGCATTCCGTGAGCAAGCCCGGCCGCAACTTTGACCTTTGGCATGCCCGAATTGTACGCCCGCTGCTCCGGCGCGGCGTTTATCTCCGCAGTTTTCGTAGGACGGTGGCCGCGTATGCAAATTATATCAATGAAGTGTCAGTACACGGGGAGATTCGCGCTCGAGTGAGCATGTTGCCTCGGTAAACACCCATTGCACGAGAGCGCGCGCGGAAGTCGCGCGTGAACACCCGGTACCGGATTGCCTGTGTTGAGCGATCAAAGCTAATGGGGCAGCCAGCCGTGGTGGCGTATTAATCGGTTGGTATCCCTCGGACCTCGAATATAGCCACACCGTGTGGTCTATCACATACGCATGCACGAAGGCCACGATGGAAAACTTGGGCTTTCGTCAGATCAACTGCTTTAAACGAGCCACTCTCTTTCTCCCTTGTTTCTCTCTCTCTCTCTCTCTCTCTCTCTCTCTGTCTCTCT